GCTATCTATCTATCTATCTATCTCATTCTGTTTGACATATATATATATATATATATGTATGAATAAATAAAGTTTTAAGGTGTGCTATCTATAGATAGATAGATAACAGTTTGAATCACATAGATAGATAGATAGATAGATAGATAGATAGATAGATAGATAGATATTGAACAGCCAGAGATAGATTATGAACAGGCAGCGATAGATAGATAGATAGATAGATAGATAGATAGATAATGAATAGGCAGGGATAGATATATACATATAAATAGACAGACAATGAACAGGCAGCGACAAATGGATAGATATATGGATAATGGACAAGCATATATATATATATATATATATATATATATATATATATATATATATACTTTAAAGTAATGCGAAGTAACAGCATCTAAGAATTTGAGTGAATCATGATCTCAGGGACATGATTTATTATTTTATTGTTAACTGTATCTTCCCCCTTTAAGTCAGGCTTCTCCCTCACCTCTTACCCATCTATATCTAGATAGAATGCGTTAAGTTAAGCGGCGTCTAGCCTACACAGAGTGGGGTTAAGGATAAGGAATTGAAAATGGTACATCTAACTCACTGATATCTTCTCTCCCACCTCACTTCCTCACTTTGTTAATTTTACATATGCTTAGTGCGGTCCGTCAAAAATGTGTAAGTTTCTTTTCATTTTTCATTTCAACTTTTGGAAGTAAAGTCTGATGATCCAAAGCCCTTTAAAAGGGTTGTGGTGAAATAACTTATTACATGGAACCTTAAAGTAATCTGTTTTTATTCAAACAAATATATATATATATATATATATATAAGGAACAGGCAGAGATAGATAGATAGATAGATAGATAGATAATAAACCGGCGCAGATAGGTAATGAACAGGCAGAAATAGATAGATAGTTACATATATACATACATAGATAGAACAGGCATCAAAGAAATAAAACAACAACATCAACAACAACAACAACAATAATAATAATATTGTATATATGCCTCTAAAATTTTCTATATCTATGGGGGAGAAATTTTCAGTATCAGTAATCAGTAATAGTGAATTTGCAGCTATAGAAATTATATTCAGCTTCAATATATAGATAACCTCGAGGAGACCGGCAAAAGATCTCTGTCTGTCTTGCCATAGCTGGAAGAAAACGTGTTCTTGCCTTTCCCGAAGGTATTACTGCGAACTGAAGGAAACTTTCCGTGCTGTTAATCCTTACGTAATCCCCATATCCTTTCCATTATTAAAATATTTATCCGTTCCATTTCAGACTTTTGCTGCAAGCCGCCAAAGATCTGAAACTATCTCGTCGTTTTGTGTGGGTCGGGAGTGACACGTGGGCCAACAGTGACTACGTGGTTAGTGATGGTCTTCAGGACGTGGCTTCAGGAGCCATCACAATACAGATTCGCTCCATGGTACTCAACGGCTTCATCCAATACGTGAAATCCTTGACGTTGGCCAATCATGCACCGATTCCTGACGATTGGTTTGAAGAATTTTACCAGAACGTCCACAAATGCAGGATTCTTCGAAGCGTTGTGCAGAGCAATTATAACACTTTATGTTCTGGCAATGAAAAACTAACAGATTCCATGCTGCCTAATGATCCGTTCGTATTCCACATGATTCTGGCCGTCGATATGATTGCCTTGGGTTTGAACAATATTAAAAAGGTAACTTTTCAGAAATTATTGAAAGTCGAGGTCATGGTTTGTTTTGTTTTGTTTTACGGTATATCAACCTCACTGGGTTATTTAATATCGACAAGATTTTTATGATAAGTTCGTATGAATAGAAGATGTATTCTTTCGTTTATTTTGGTTTGGTTTATTTTGTTTTACGGTATATCAACCTCACTGGGTTATTTAATATCGACAAGATTTTTAGGATAAGTTCGTATGAATAGAAGATGTATTCTTTCGTTTATTTTGGTTTGGTTTATTTTGTTTTACGGTATATCAACCTCACTGGGTTATTTAATGCCGACAAGATTTTTAGGATAAGTTCGTATGAATAGAAGATGTATTCTTTCGTTTATTTTGGTTTGGTTTATTTTGTTTTACGGTATATCAACCTCACTGGGTTATTTAATGCCGACAACATTTTTTAGTATAAGTTCGTATGAATAGAAGATGTATTCTTTCGTTTATTTTGGTTTGGTTTATTTTGTTTTACGGTATATCAACCTCACTGGGTTATTTAATGCCGACAAGATTTTTAGGATAAGTTCGTATGAATAGAAGATGTATTCTTTCGTTTATTTTGGTTTGGTTTATTTTGTTTTACGGTATATCAACCTCAATTCGATTGTTTTGTTTTGTTTTGTTTTACGGCATGTCAACCTCAATGGGTTATTTAATGTCAACAATTTTTATAGCTCGTAATATTATTTTCCCTTCAAAAATCTATTTCTAGTAATACAGGGTGTCCATAAAGTTCGTGTGCACTTTAAAAAATTTATAACTTTATTTGTATTTGCGATAGAAATAATCTGTAAAAATTTTTATAAAGTTTAATGTACCTAGTTTTAAGTAAAGCTAAAATAACTAAAATGTGATTTCAAGCATTTCTGTAAATCAGTTGGCAAATGTTTTCCGTGAACTGTAAAATCGTATTACCCTTTGTATTGCTAATGTTGGAGGACATGTAGAAACTTAAATAAAGTTTCAATAAAACCTTAAAAAATATAGTTTTACTTCTTTCTAATCCTTTTTACAAATTATTTTTTATCGCAAATACAAATGAAGTTCAAAAATGTATAGTCGGTAATATTTTTTTTTATTTTTCAAAAATGTTTAGTTGGTAATACTTTTTTTTAAGTATTGCTGGTAATAATATTTTTACAAAAAATTTCTGGTATTAAAACCTATTTTTACACTTTCATAGTATTTTGACCCAAGCTTTGGTGTTAACTATAGTTGGGACCCTAACAGGTGCTACCACCCCGAGTCAAGGTGGACCTAGGAACACCAGCAATTAAGAGGTGGTTCCATGCTCCTCAAAAACTCCTGGTCAGACGCCATTGTTTGTTTTTTTTTCTTCCATTTTTCTATTTTTTGCATCTTAATTAGGCACAATAGATTTATCTTGCCTTTTCCTATCATCACTGAATCATCTTCAATTTTATCTCTCTCATCTATTTTGTTTCTTCCAGTCTCTATTAAACTCAGTATTAGTCTACCCCTCCATTATTGTATTTCTTCATATCTTTCATTGTTTTCTGCAAATAAATATTTCAAGAAATAAGCAGATTATTTTTTCTCTTGAAAAGGCAGAAAATAAAATTCATTGAAAGAAAGAGAGAAAGAATTCATGATCACGTTTTATCAAAGAATTAATGCTTTGTATCTATCATTTCGACATCATTGAACTGCCTCATAGTTTATCGTCTTACCCGGAACAGTCGAGGTCATGTAACCAAAAATGACGAGGTGTGTCTAGATATTATCCAGTTATTTAACCCATTAACTGCCCAAATTTTTTAATGCGCATTTTTGGCCCAGACAGGTGTTTTAGGAGTTGAAACAACATACAATATTAAAATTTTCTTCGAATAGTTGGTACTTTATAGAAACTAGAAAATATATATGTGTATAAAAATAAAGGAAGAAGTGCGTATTTCACGAAAGAATTGAAGTACACCCGTGTGTATGTATGCTCATATATTACAGGAGTTTTATTGCAACAATAAACACGGGCATAATTGAATTTCTTACAAGCCAAGCATTTTTTCTGTTAAATATTCACGCACATTAAGTAAAGTTTTCACTTCAGAATTCCCTGTAGGTTACCTGGGTTAATATACACCTGAGGAAGGCCGAAGAGCACAACGACCGAAACGTTGTGATAACAACAACAATGATGCGGACAATAGTCCGAATATAACTATACACTAGTATATATTGTGTGGGGGCGCCTGTCTCTTCTTTCCTTGTCTGTGTGGTGGTAGCTGTCTCCTTGTCCATGTCTGTCGTCTTGCCCCTGTATGTATTGTAGCGCCTGTCTCCTTGCCATTGTCTGTGTGGTGACACTTATCTCTTTGTTCCTATCTGTGTAGTGGTACCTGTCTCCTTGTCCTGCTTGTGTTGTGGCGTCCGTTGTCTTGCCCCTCTATATGTTGTGGCGGCTGTCTCCTTGCCCCTGTCCGTGTGGTGGCACCTGTCTCCTTGTCAGCAAAGATGAGGACAATAGTCCAAATATAACTAGTGTAAATAATGAAAAGATTATATTGAATCAATTGCTGGGTCTACTGCTAGGAAAGTTGGTTCACTATGCTGTGCCAGATATTCTTTTCCGCAACAGAATATATCGTTCACATTTAAAAGTCTAAATTCTTCCGTGCATTGAATATCGCTGTCACATTTTTACAGACACGAAAGTCCATGTTTCCCCAGCTGTGAAATTGTAGTTTCAAAAATATTTTTTATTAACAAATAACTACCAATTTATGAAACAACAGGATTCAAGAATCTGCACTATTATCAGTCCTGGCCTAGCATCTCAGGTTCAATCACTTTCCCACCGCCGTAACATAGTTTCTCTCTTCTTATTCTATAAATATTTTTATGGTAATAGTTTTGATGAGTTTTTCCTATTTAACGAACTTAAGTACACTATTCTAGTTAGTTTTTCCGCTGTTCCCTTGTTCTGTTTGTGTGGTCAAATCTGTCGGCTTGCCCCTCTATGTATTGTAGCGTCTGTCTCCTTGCCACTGTCTGTGTGGTGGCATCTGTCTCTTTGTCCCTAACTGTGTAGTGGTACCTGTCTCCTTGTCCGGCTTGTATGATTGCGTCTGTCGTCTTGCCACTGTCTGCGTGGTGACGCCTGTCTCCTTGCCCCTGTCAACACGGTTCAAGATACCGGCGTTTATTTCCTTGTTCTGTCTGTGTGGAGGCAGCTGACTCTCTGTCCTTGTCTGTATGGTATTAGCTGTTTCCTTGTCCTTGACTGCGTGGTGGCACCTGTCTATTTGTCTTTGCCTGTGTGGTGGTAGCTGTTTCCTTGTCCTTGTCTGTGTGGTGGCGTCTGTCTTCTTGCCACTGTATGTATTGTAACGTCTGTCTCCTTGCCACTGTCTCTGTGGTGGCGCCTATGTCTTTGTTCCTATCTGTGTAGTGATACCTGTCTCCTTGTCCTGCTTGTGTGGTGGCGTCTGTCGTCTTGCTACTGTCTGTGTGGTGACGCCTGTCTCCTTGCCACTGTCAACACGGTTCAAGATACCCGCATCTATTTCCTTGTCCTGTCTGTGTTGCGACGCCTGTCTCTTTGTCCTTGTCTGTGTGGTGGTAGCTGTCTCCTTGTCCTTGTCTATGTGGTGTCGCCTGTCTTTTTGTCCTTGTCTGTGTGGTGGTAGCTGTCTCCTTGTCCTGTCTGTGTTGCGACGCCTGTCTCCTTGTCCTTGTCTGTATGGTGGCGCCTGTCTTTTTGTCCTTGTCTGTGTGGTGGTAGCTGTCTCCTTGTCCTTGTCTGTGTGGTGGTAGCTGTCTCCTTGTCCTTGTCTGTGTGGTGGCGCCTGTCTTTTTGTCCTTGTCTGTGTGGTGGTAGCTGTCTCCTTGTCCATGTCTGTCGTCTTGCCCCTGTATGTATTGTAGCGCCTGTCTCCTTGCCATTGTCTGTGTGGTGACGCTTATCTCTTTGTTCCTATCTGTGTAGTGGTACCTGTCTCCTTGTCCTGCTTGTGTTGTGGCGTCCGTTGTCTTGCCCCTCTATATGTTGTGGCGGCTGTCTCCTTGCCCCTGTCCGTGTGGTGGCACCTGTCTCCTTGCCCGTTTCTTTGTGAAAGTCTCTTTTGTTGTACATTTTTGTTATGAATCTATTTATTTCTTTCCACAGTGCCGAAAGGAAAACGCTCTGAGCGTCGCTTCCTGCCTTGCCTTACAGCGCGATCGCAACCGGCTCATCTACGACAGCATATTGAGTTCCCAATGGAGCCAGTTGCATCAAAATGGGTCCGGAATCTCAGATGATTTCACTTTCCGATTTACACCGTCCGGCTACGGCGACATCGGTTACGACATTCTAAATTACAGATACAATCTCGGCACTAACAAATATGAATACAAGAAGGTAAGTTTAACGAGGACTCTTCCGATTTTAAGAAATAAAATAGTATTTCATGCCTTTATATTGCCACATCAGATTATCATGTTAAAATCCCATTTGTCCCTTAGCTTCTTATTAAGTTGCCGCATAATTATCAGGCGTTTTTTTTAAAACAATATTTATTAGGAAAAAAGAAACATAGCAATTCAATAATAACATTTTTAAATGACTATTCCGGAGTGTATGATTATCGACATGCATTTTATAACTTGAAAAAAAAAAAAATTTATTAAAAAAAAAGTAAACGAAACAGCAAATTTTATTAACAAATAACTCGCCTACAAAAACGCCTGATAATTATGCACCAATCCAATGGTTAGATCGCACGACCATTACGCCCTGCCAATACCTATTTTTATAACTTGAAAATAAAATAATGTTTTTATTTAAAAAAGTAAACAAAACAGCAAATTTTATTAGCAAATAATTCGTCTACAAAAACGCCTGATAACTATGCACAAACCCAATGTTTAGTTCGCACGACCGTTACGCCCTCCTAATACTTCATAAATAATGGTCTATTTTTGTTTTTCACGAGGAGAGACGGAAAGGACATATCAGAGACGCTCTGTCTTTTCAGTGAAAAAAGAAAGAAAGAAAGAGAGAGAGAGACAGATAGAGAAAAATAGACAGAGAGAGAGAAGATAGTGGCGGTGATAATCGTCACATGATCTCATGTTGTCAGGCAGTAGCACTGAATATATTGCACAAGCCCAGGACTAAAACTAAATGGCCCTGTCAGTAGTTCACAAGTAATGGACAATTCCATTTTGAGTACGAGGAAAGACGGAAAAGACATATAAGAGACGCTGTTTGGTTTCAGTGAGAAAAAGTAAGAAAGATAGAGGAGGCGATAGCGCTCTCATTTGTTCAATGTCTGGTTTCAGTGAAACAAAAAACCTAGTCAGTTTTGAAACCTTTCATTTGTACCCTCTTACTTCTTTAAATATTGTCCTGCAAGATGTTACTCGAAAATAATTAGCGAGTCTTTTATAGTCATGGAACCCGCAAGGAGCTTATTCAACCATTAAATTAAAAATTAAGATTCATCAGAAAATTCAAATAGAAAACTGAAATTTTCACGTGTTCTATTATTATTCTATTAAAATTGCGCTCGTTCCACCTTTTGTTGGTTCACACGACCGTTAAGCCCTGCCAATAAATAATGAACTATTCCGTTTTGACAGTGTGGAAAGATGGGAAAAGACTACTTGGTTTCAGTGAGAAAATGAAAGAAAGAAAAAAGAGAGGGGATCGGATTAATGTGATAAGAACAGCTTCTACACTTTGATCTTAGCGAAAAGGCCGAGAAGCGATTACCTTTACTTGCCACCACACGCTAGCAAGATGGGACACAGGGTCAGTTTAATTTGTGTATGTGTGTTTGTGGGGGAGCACGGGGTGAAACAGGGTCAGAAAATATGCCATTGGTTCTGGTTACTACTGACCCCCCCAACTTTATTGCAATAAGAAATGGGGGTGCTATCCCTGTTAGCTGTTTCCTGAGACTGGGCATCTCTCAAATAATATTTTCAGTTGCGCTTTTAGGGATGAAATGAAGTTTATACACCGGAGGATAGATACTGCACATTGGTCCCAAACAAAAGGTCGAGTTTTCAGATATACAATATCAAACGACGGAAACAGATTAAGGCAATCGCCAAAAAATAAAGTCGCTGTAAATAAAATTACACAGCCTGCTTAATTATTTTCAAATTATTATTAAGAGAAATGTTCGTAAGACGGGGATTTGGCTAGTCTTTATTATTATTGACAAAATGTTCGCAAGACGGGGATTTGGGTGGTCCTTATTATTATTAAGAGAAATGTTCGTAAGACGGGGATTTGGCTAGTCCTTATTATTATTAAGACAAATGTTCGTAAGACGGGGATTTGGATAGAAAGAAAGAAAGAAAAGAAGAAAGAAAGAGGGAAGATAGAAGTGTTTAACGTATCCTGTCAATACCTCATAAATAATGGATTATTCCGTTTTGAGTCTTTTGTTTTTTTACGTAATATCGTAGAAAGAAAATAAAAGACACACGCTACTTGGTTTGTGGGAAAATGAATGAAAAAAGAAAGAAAGAAAGAAAGAAAAGAAAGAAAGAAATGTTTAACGTCTGTTTCAGTGAAATGGAAAAAGTTGTCACTTTCGAATCTTTCCATTTGTACCCCCTTACTTCTTTAAATAACGACCAGCATTCATATTTATGATTGTTATTGCAATATTTTGTGAAAGTTGCTAAGCTCAAGTATTTTAACGATGCGATAGAGGAATTTCTACGGATATTTTATCATCGTAGAACTCACCATGAGCTAACTTAAGAATTAAGAAGATTCGTCAGAATATTAAAATAGGAAAATCCGTGGAATTTTCACGCGTCTTTTCAGTCATTATTATTATTATTATTATTATTATTATTATTATTATTATTATTATTATTTCCTTCTGTTTCTGATGTGTATTCATTTCTTTCCGGGTCCCGACCAGAAACCTATGATCAGAAATGGCATCATGACATTTTCCACAGAGCAGTTTTGAAAAAAAAAAAAAAGTCACATATTTATATAGCTAAAGCCATTCGTAAGGTGTGGGCTGTAATTGGGAATACAGTCTTCTGTATTTCTTTAAGGCATGGCACCAGAAATCCCTTCTATGAGTCTATTGGAATATTTTCCAATCAATTCGAGAAATTGTTAATCTTCTCATGCGCCACATTTTTGAGATTTCGATTTCAAGTTCTTTGTATTTTGATAGTTTTTTTGAAGATCTTCACAGGTGCATTGTAGTCTGCAGGGACTGCCATGTCAATAAGGATGCATATTTTGTCCTTGCAGTCTCTAATCACGATGCCAGGGCGATTAGCTTTAATTGTTTTGTCTGTGTGTTTTGTAAAGTCCCATGAAAATGTTACAGGTTCTATTTCCGTAATCGGATCTGGCTGGTGTTCATACCAATTATTATTATTATTATTATTATTATTATTATTATTATTATTATTATTATTATTTTCTTTGATTTCTGGCGTTTACACATTTCTTTCCTGCTCCCCACCACCACCAGGGACCTAAGGTTAGAAATGGCATCATGACACTTTCCACTGACAAAAAAAAAAAATAATATATATATATATATATATATATATTACATAGATAAAGCCCTTCGTAAAGTGTTGGCTGTACTTGTCAGAACAATTTTTTGTATCTCTTTGAGGCATGGACTTCCAGGAATCCCTTCAATTAGTCGACTGGAATATTTTCCAACCAGTCCTAGGGCTCCAATTACAAAAGGGATTGTTGATGTTACCATATGCCACATTTTTGAGATTTCTATTTCAAGGTACTTGTATTTTGACAGCTTTTTGAATATCTTCAAAGATACATTGCAGTCAGCAGGGACTGCCATATCAACAAGGAGGCACCGTTTTTGTTTGTTTGTGGTCTTTAATAACAATATCTGGGTGGTTGGCCTTGATTGTTCTATCAGTGTGTATTGTGTAGTCCCATAGAATTGTAACAGGTTCTATCTCCGTGACCGGGTTTGGGTGGTGTTCATACCATTTAAACCGGGTCTGGGTGGTGTTCATACCATTTATTATTATTATTATTATTATTATTATTATTATTATTATTATTTCAGATTGGCTCGTGGGTAAACAAACTCTCGTTGAAACTGACCCAATATCGGCGTATCAGCACCAGTAATGATTTTGTTCTACCTCGTTCTCGGTGTATTACTGGAAGTACCTGCAATTGTCTGGATAGCAAAGGAAAAACAGTCCAGTATAAAAAATCAGGACAAACGGCCTCTTTGGTGTCAGGCAACCGAGAAATCCTCATCGACCCCAACACAGGAGCCGTGATTGACTTGTCAAACCGTCCAAGTGCCTATTATCGCTTCTCGGAAATCTGGGGGACGATTGTGACTACCCTGGCCGCCCTGGGCGCCTTTTTTGGCGTGTGTCTCTTTTGCTATTTCCTTATTTTCTTCCCCTTCCGAGGCAGTACAACCATCCTCGGCTTTACGCTTCTGGTAGCGATCATATGCCTCTATCTGATGGCCACTGCGTTCGTGGCCCACGCGACACCTATCGTCTGCGCCATTCGTCGTTTCTTCCTCGGCTTCTTCTACGCACTTGCCTATTCCGCGCTCCTAATCAAACTGCTTGACGCCTATCGCAACAAGAAGAAAGAAGAGCTCGTTTACAAGAAACTGGGCAGTCCGTGCGGGTTGCTTATGTGCTGTTTGTTACTGGTCGCCGTCCAGTGTATCATCAACATCGAATGGTTGATTCTTGTTCCACCTGAGGTGGTCCGCGTGCCCTTCGAAGGCGTCATGTGGCCCCGTTGCTCCCCCGAGAGCACATCGGACGAGGCACTAGTGATGTCATTAATATTCATCATGTGCATTCTGTTTCTCTGTGTGGTTTTTGGTTTGTGCACTTGGAGTAGTAAAATCAACTGTTACGAAGCCAGGTGGGTTCTAGGAATGGCCATACTCAGCATATTAGTTTGGATTGTGTGGTGTCTGGTCTCCATTGTTGGCAACTATAAAGTCCGGGACATGGCCGTAGCTATTGGCCTTTTGATGAATGCGTCCATTCTACTGGTGCTTGGGCCGGTCCGAAGACTCCGGTTACTTAAGGAATACAAGCAACAAGTAAAGGGGGAAAAAGACGAATATTATTTGTACGATAACGGTAAGTAATCATTCAGAATTTTCAAATTAATAACCTATTATGACGTATCAGATTTTTAAAAGTCATATTCTAAGTTCGGATTTTTATTATTAACATGAGTTTAAGGCATGTTGATTACAACAGATTGGTCATGTATAGCTGAACAAGGATTTTCAAGTAGATTCTCATAGTCTTTAATCCCATCTCCAAGGTTCTGATTCTAAATGTGGTTTTATGGCACATTGACTCTTATATAATGGTCATGCCGTGCCAGAGATGGATTTTTAAGTAGATTCTTATAGTCTATAATCCTCTATCCAAGGTTCTGTTTCTGAATGTAGTTTTATGGCACACTGACTCCTATATAATGGTCATGTAGTACCAAACAAGGATTTTCAAGTAGATTCTCATAGTCTTTAATCCCATTCTCAAGGTTCTCATCCTGAATGTGGTTTTATGGCACATTGACTCCTATATAATGGTCATGTAATTCCAAGCAAGGATTTTCCAGTAGATTCTCATAGTCTTTAATCCCATCACCAAGGTTCTGATTCTGAATGTGGTTTTATGGCACATTGACTCCTATATAATGCTCATGCAGTGCCAAAGAAGGATTTTTAAGTAGATTCTTATAGTCTATAATCCTCTCTGTTTCGGAATGTGGTTTTATGGCACACTGAAACCTATATAATGGTCATGTCGTGCCAATCAAGGATTTTAAAGTAGATTAATAGTAGAAATTGTGATTTTAACTAATTCAATTCGGCTTCATTTTTATTCATTGTATATATATATATATATATATATATATATATATTGTCTTTCTTTCACTACATACACACCTATTCATATTTTTGGATTTTTTTTTTCAGATTTAAATTCCAGCGTCGACTACAGCCATGGATACAATGCAGCACCTCAGTTAAGATTAACTGATGCTGACCATTATTAAACAGTGTTATTTTTTTTTATTATCTTATCACCTTTTCTTTTTCAAAGGTGAGTATTTAAATGGAAACTTTTATATCTCAATCTCTAACTCAGCGATTATCAACAGGTACGCCCGAGCGCACTAGTGCGCCCCAAAGGTGGCCCTGTGTACCTCATAATAAATTTTGGAATGTTTTTTTTATATTTAAATATATCTTTGTTTTTAAAAAGCTAGAGACACCAAGTACGTGGCTTCTATGTCTAAGTTTTTGTCATTTGATATTTTAAAACTGGCTACTGTGTTCATTTTGTACTAATACCAGAATTCAATATATTCACTCCATATCAACTGACAAAAATAATAGGGTAGACCCCGGCAGTCTGGCCTTGGTTGAGAATCATAGTGTATTGCACTACTATTTGAAAGATATTTCTCACTGTTCTATCGTTATTACCATGGAAAGTGCTTTGGATTTCTATTCAAGAAAAATATCCTTTAGTATCTACCAAAGTATTGAATATTTTATTGCAATTTTTCGCATCATACCTCTGTGAATTAGGGTTTCCCGTACTCACCAATATTAAATATAAAAATAAATCAAATATTAAATACACTGACGAGGAAATGAGATTGTGTTTATCACATAAAAGACTAACATTCAAATAATTGTCAAAGCACACCGAACCCAGGTTTCACATAAGCATAGTTAAATATACAATTTAATGTCTGAAAAATAAATGCTTATTACAGGAGAATCCTTTATTATGTACAGCTACTTTTCTTTGAGAATGCTAAACCAAAATTTCAAATGTACACTATCGGCTACAAAGATTTCATGCTAAAAATCAGTATTTGAAAGCTCGTTTTTTTTTAAAATTTGGGCCGACCAACGAATGCTCCGTGAAATGTAGCCGAGTGCACCCGAAATGAACAGAAGAATAATTTATGAATTATTTTTATATTTAACAAAAAAAAATCTTTATTTTTAAAAAGCTAGAGACACCAATGGCTTCCATGTCTAAATTTTTTCATTTGATATTTTAAAAGTGGATGCTAGATTCCTTAATCTTTAAGAAGGAATGGATAATCCTTTCCCTATTGCCTGAACAGAAAAGAGAAGCTGATCACTAATATCTGCTGATCATGGCTTACAAATCAAGAATAAAGTGGTGTACATTGATCAATTTTGGATTTCTATTCAAGAAAAATATCCTTCAGTCGCTAGCAAAGTATTGAATATTTTATTGCAATTTTTCCGAATCATATCTCTGTGAATTAGGGTTTCCTGTACTTACCAGTATTAAATACAAAAATAGATCAAATATTAAATACGCTGTTGAGGAAATGAGAGTATGTTTATCACATAAAAGACTAACATTCAAATAATTGTCAAAGCACAACGAACCCAGGTTTCACATAACCATGTTTAAATATACAATTTAACGTCTGAAAAATAAATGCTTATTACAGGAGAATCATTTATTATGTACTGCTACTCTTCTTTGAGAATGCTAAACCAAAATTCCAATTTAAATGCACACTGTCGGCTACAAAGAGTTCGTGCTAAAAATCTGGGTTGGCCATCGAATGCACCCTGAAATGTAGTCGGTTGTGCCCCAAATGAACAGAAGAGTAATTTATGAATTATTTTTATATTTAAAATAAGTCTTTATTTTTAAAAGCTGTAGACACCAAGCACATTGCTTCCATGTCTAGATCAAGTTTTTTCATTTGATATTACAAGGGAGTGAAGAAAAGTATAACCCGAGTGACAATGGCGGTTCTGTCAATGAAAGCCAAATATTTTCTTGTAAGGAAAATGAGGAGAACAGATACTACACTCTCTCTAATAGTCAGGCAGTTAAGAAAAGCGTAACTCGATTACCACTGGATGCTCGGTTCTTGATTATCGAATCTTTCCTTATAAGGAAAGGGCTTATACTACCTTTACCATTAATGACATCTGTGAGTGATGAAAGTGTGTGATTGTTCCAACGTTCATACCGATGAGCAGTTTGCTCTTTTTGGTGTTGTCTGAAGATTCTGAAATAATGTCTTGTTATTATATAAATTATTCGACTAATATCCTCATCTTTGTTATTTTGTTCTCTACTATTTGACCAGCTCATTTCCAGGTTTTCTCAGTGTTTGCTAAGCTTCTGAAAGCATTTTCCTTATTCCATGGCTGATTTGAACGCTTAATATTTAAATTTGTTCTTGCATTACAGTGAAGCGAACCATTCTGATTCCAAAACAAAGAGCCGAACAAATTAAAATAAATCCCAAACCATTAATCTGCTGAGTGTTAAGAAAGGTTATGACTTTATTTACAACCATTCCACCTGTTCACATAAAGTTTGGAAAGAGGAATGAATAATAATCAACCCATTCGTTCTGTATCCTGCTTATGTTTACATGGTAATTCTTGATAAATAGTCTTTGGTCTTGTGCAACCATTATAAATGCTTCCATCTCTACTTTTAGCCTTACACTATTCAGCCACTGATGGATTTTTTTATTATCCACACCCCAAATTATATATATATATATATATATATATATATATATATATATATATATATATATATATAAATATATATATATATATATATATATATATATATATATATATATATATTTAACCAGCAATGTAAATTTACAGAGCATTAATATTAAAATTAATTGATTTAAAATATGTTTTTTTTTACACAGTTCTAACCATGTTTCAAAAATGGAAGCTGAAAGCTTCAATTTAATTTTGTAATTAAATTAAAGACATTAGTTCCATTTCATCCTCAAGCGAATTTTGGAGTAACTTTTAAAATTACTGGGTTTTAAAGACACAGAAAAAATCATAATTCACGTTTCCAAGGTTACAGATAAATCCATTCAACCAGACTAGGGATGTTTGCGTGTTCATTATCGCTGTATTTTGATGTATCAGTTATTAGTTACGTTTTGGTAGGGGTAGGAATGTATTTTTCAATAAAATCTGACATGTCGTCTGAATTTCTAAACAAAATTTATTGTTAACGGCAAAAATTCGCTTGAGGATGAAATGGAACTAATGTCTTTAATTTAATTACAAAATTAAATTCTGAGCTTTTAGCTTCCATTTTTGAAACATGGTTAGAACTGTGTAGCGAAAAAAAAACATATTTTAAATCAATTAATTTGTAATATTAATGCTCTGTAAATTTACATTGTACACTATTTTGTAAAAATAAAAATATCCCGCTCTGTTTCTCTCTCTCTCTCTCTCTTTATATATACATATATATATATATATATATATATATATATATATATATATATATATATATTTGGTGGACTCTCCGTCGTATGAGGGTTAAGCAACTCAGTTCCTAGAAACCGACAGCCATCAACCTGTTCATGTGATTTGATTGTAGTGGTGAAGGCTTTGTGCAGAACCAACCACACTTTTCGAAGGGCTGAATACAGAGACCTAGTGCACCATTTAACACAAGGTCTCCAAACAACCCTCCACAAGTTTTTAATTCAGAATAGTCCTTCTCCTAGACCAGTTGCCATCCAAGGCTATAGAACCCAGTCTGTCCTGCTATTTACCCATAGCTGAGGTGGGAGAAGAGGAGGATTAATACCTTTCCTAAGGATATTAACACGTAAGTGAATGTAATGAAGTCTACTGGAATATATATATATATATATATATATATATATATATATATATATATATATATATATGAATCTGATCGCTTGATTTGTTCGACATTCCTGTTGTTAAAGTCTGACCTGATTCCCAGGTATTTGATGACGCCTTCTATATCTGTCGGTCGACAGTTTTTTTTTAATAAAAAAAACCCAAACTTATTCACTTGATTTAAGTTTTTCACTCATGAAATTCAGTACATAAAACTTAATGCAAATATAAATGCAATTCTGGTCTTGTTACAGCCTACATTTTTCAAACTCAAATTGTTTGCCCATGTTTCTTAAAGATCCTTAGATGCATATATGCAGATAATCTATGAAGCCATATTGTCCGAGAAAATAATAGTTGTATTTGTGTGACTACAGACATTCACTCAACTTTGCAGTGTGTGTGTGTGTGTGTGTGTGTGTGTGTGTGAGGGAGTACTGTAAGCTTTGATGTGCGGGTGGTGCAAAAGACAACGGGGCGGAATTGGAACTCGGATTCGTTATACCCACTTACGCGTAAATACTTATTGGAAAGGCTCGAATCCACATCTTCTCCCCCCGCTATCGGCTAAATATTAGAACTTCTATCAGTAAATAATGATCATTTTCAAAAATTTCTTACAATGTAAAAGTACTCTCTGGCTTTAAATAACCGGCAAAGGGTTGATAAACCGCAAATTACAAATCAGTCCATCACAGCGATATAGTCGCAATGCACCTAATAGACATTGGGTGTAAAGAGAGGAGATAAAGTGCCTATTATGAGGATATGTAGGATAGATAATCGTTGGATGGTTGATTCTAGATTTGAAAAGGTTAAGATCGTAGTGATCAGGGAAGCATCCCCGCGGGAGGTTTTCTCATGAAGTAAGAAGGTCAAGCGACTGTAGAGTAAAACGAGCTAAATTGTAGCGTAGACAAGCCTCTTTATCTTTGGATGGTAACAAGTCTAGGAGAAGGAATATTTTGGATTCAATCTTTCGCACGATATTATAACAGTTTGTAGATAATAAATAAAAGAAATTTGTGGAGAGCAGTGATCATCTATTCCCACCAAGGAGGGATATAGCATTTAAGAATAAGTTAAATATCAGGGTAAACTTTGTCCTCTAGCCTTGATTGGCAACTAGTCTAGGAGAAGAACTACCTTGAATTCAGTCCATTGGAGAAGGCAAAGGAGAAATATTCCGCTGATCAAGAAGCCATGACAATTCCTGGATGACATAATGACAAAGAATCTGCTAAGAGTTACGGGTTAACAATAGCAAGGGAGACTATGCATTTTATGCTTTGCTAGTAGCCGGTATAGGAGAAGGAATACTTTTAATTCAAATCTGTGGAGAGAACAACGGGAAACCACTCCACTATATTTCCAAAGAAGCCGTGAAAATTTACGGATATATATATATATATATATATATATATATATATGTGTGTGTGTGTGTGTGTGTGTGTGTGTGTGTGTATAAAAGTGAACATTGAAGTCAACACTCAGAGGCGACATGCTGTTTCATCCTGGACACAATCGTCAGGCGGTCTTACGATTGTGTCCAGCATAAAACAACCTGTCGCCTCTGAGTGTTGACCTCAATGTTCTTACATATATATATATATATATATATATATATATATGACAACCCTGACGATTGTGTCTAGCATGAAAAGCCTGTCGCCTCTGAGTGTTGACTTCAATGTTCACTTTTATATTTATATTTACATACGCTCTATCTCTGATATTGAGCACTTTATCCCATAAATATAGCACACCTTAAAACTATATTTCTTCATATATATATATATATATATATATATATATATATATATATATATATATATAAAAGGAAACTGTGGAGGGCCATGATCGCTAAGACCTAATATCTTTATTTCTCTAGCTACTCTTTTCAAAGTTAAAAAAATATTTTGAAGACGTTTATCTCTGATTTTTTTTAAATTCCAGATGTCAGTCGCCATTTCCAGATGTCAAATCTTATACCAGATGTTACAACTTTCACCGGCTTTCCCACTTCCTTCAAATGCCCGCCATCTCTTGACAAGTATGCTGTTAAAATTTACCATTGTTTCCTGATGCGTAGACGGTGCCCCGAAATGCTTGTTGAAAATGTATTTGTTAATAAATCTCTTGATTAAAAAAATCATAAAGAATATTTTTTTTAAATAAACATTAATTAACTTATTTCATGGAGTTTTTGTCTGAATTTCTCGGATAAGGAGCTATCAATATTTATCCTATTTACACGCAGACTATTAACCTCGTCTTTGATCTTATTATTACAACGTTTCGGCTGTTGTACACTCTGGCCTTCCTCAGATGTAAATTGATCTGGGTAACCTACAGAGAATTTCGAGCGGGTCCCTTTATTTAATCTACGGCGTAGTCAATGCTCATGTCTAGGGATATATCCTCTAATTCTTAGCCCTGTTTCTACAGAGCCTAAGGACACACATCCTGACCAAAGGATTGAACTCGTAATTACTATGTTACCAAGTTTACGCTCTAGGCCAGGGCTCAGCAACTTATATCACGTGTGCCACACGCGGCACGCCCAGCAATTTCAAATGGCACACAGCCGTAAATGACATCATAAAATCCGAACCAATAACTACTACAACGCAAAGAAGATATTTAGCTGTTTCAATTTTAATATATACTAAAGTATATATATACTATATATTACTATATAAAATATATTATAGAACAAATATATTGACATTGACTTGTATAAAAATAAGTATGCTGTTGGCACACTGAATGATTTTAAAACCGTAAGTCGGTAAATAGCAAAGATTGCTAAACCCTGATCTAGACTTCTATTCTTATGAATTTGGGGAGGTGCTGAATCTATTTTTGGCACTGAAAATCCTCCCAAAAGAAGTCTAAATGCTTTTAATGCAAAATTTAAGCTCTTTTCAGGAACATTGGCTCTTCACTGCAGACCAGGATTTCTCGAGCTAAACCCCTAATTTTTATGTAGAAATGTTTATTAAAAACAATATATACAATATATTGTTTTGTGGCACAAGGTCAAAGGGAAGTGGGGAAAGGCTGGTAGACACTGTCTATTGTACACTTAGCTAATTAACACTTAAACAGGGTTCAGTAATCTACGGCACACGTGCCATACATGGCATGCAGCCACAAATGATATCACAAAGTCCAAACCAATAACTACTACAACGCAAAGAAGATATTTAGCTGATTCAATTTTAATATATACTAATGTATATATACTATATATTACTATATAAAATATATTGTAGAATAGGTATATTGACCTTGACTTGTATAAAAAATACGTATGCTGTTGGCATGCTGAATGATTTTAAAACCCTAAGTCGGCACATAGTTAGCAGAAGGTTGCCGACCCCTGATCTAGGCTATAGTGTCCTGGGAAAAAGCCTAGTGGATTAAAGCTTAATTCATTTTAGGACCAATTCTCTTTGGTAGTCTCAGCATCCTTCTGTGGAACCATATCTCTGATGTCGTAGGTCTTTTCTTCATCGTTGAGGAGAAATGTCCAGCATTCACTGCTATATAGGAGGACATATATTACATAACAGTCTAGTACTCTTTTCTTTGTTTCTAATGACATTTTCCTGTTTCTTAATACTTTGCTTAGCATTTTGAAGGTATTTTTAGCTATTTCAATCCGGCTTCGGATTCCAGTCTCACGTTTTCCGTTGTCTGTTACGCCACTTCCCGGATAGTTAAATTCTTGCAAGAGCTTTATTTTGACATCTCCAATTCGAAACCCGCATCTTGGCTTATCCCTCTTGCTTACGACCACACATTCTACCCCCGCAGATCAAATAAGGGCCTGTAATCTGTAATGCTGTAATCTCTTGTAATTATGCAAAAATATCGCTCCGATTCTAATCTGTATGTTTGTTGATGTGTGTTTATATTTCGAAGATGAGGTAAACTTTGTCCTCATCTTCGTTGCCATATACCCGCTCGACCCGGTGGCTAGGATCAAAGTGTAGTATCTGCGCTTTGTGAGCTGCCGGGTCGGGTGTCTGTCGAATTCTCTGCTTGCAGAGAGGAACCCGGACGAAGCTCCGCCGAAGGTTAGGGTTTCGTTGGGGGAAGTTGACGGAACTGGCCCACCTCGGCGGGTTTGGATGGTTATTTATTTTTGGCTGGGCCTACGGGCTCAGAGATACCCACATTAAAAAGTCCTTGTGCCACATTCGATCCCCGTGGGTGGATTGATAAATACTATTTTCGTTGCCATATTCACGGCGTTTCGGCCGTTGTACGCCCCGGCCTTCTTCAGGATCTGTCTATCTTTTAGAGATGAGGTATTTTAATTATTTACATTATTCGGACCGTTGTTCTCATCTTCCTTGCCATATTCGCGACGTTTCAGCCGTTGTATGCTCCGGCTTTCTTCAGGATCTTTATATATTTCTGAAATGAAGTATTGTAATTATTTACATTGATCGGACCGTTGTCCTCATCTTCGTTGCCATGTTCACGACATTTCGGCCGTTGTACTCCCCGGTCTTCTTCAGGATTTGTTTATATTTCAAAGATGAGGTATTATAATTATTTACATTATTTACACTGTTCGGACCGTTGTTCTCATTTTAATTGTCATACTGCAGTGGTGAACAAAAAACTTGGAGAAAGGAGCTAAAGGGAGATAACTGATAACATCCAAAAGAGGCATGGCAGGTGGAACCAGAAAAATCTACCTCGGTGGACGAAATAAAGAGTTCAGTCTGAAATTTCAATCACCTGAAGAAGGCCGAAGCGTACAACGGCCGAAACGTCGTGAATATGACAATAAAGATGAGGACAACAGTCCGAACAATGTAAATAATGCAAACAATTACAACACCTTATCATAAATATAAATGATGTTTGTTTATGTTTGCAACTCAGTCATAAGACGATGCAACTTGATACTGAATTAGTATGTTTTAACACTTCAAATAAAAAATTTAAATTAAAAAAAAAAAAATTGAATAATTTAATTTCAAAATGTCATTCTATAATTCATTATTTACCTGCTGTGAAAACTATCATTAAGTGGGTCATGTGCTTTGGGGGGGGGGGTGAGATAAAATCTTTTCATTTTAACACACATCATTTGGACGAGTCGCTTGTTTTCTTGAGTTTTGAAATGAGACCATTTCCTGATTTGGAATTGTATTTTCAACAGAGAAAGTGCTCGACTAGAACTACCAACACAATTCTTCACGGCAAGGACAAACCATGCCACTTACATAGTAGCAAATCACCTACATTTCCCCCATATCCCATCAGTGATATCCACTTGGGCAGCTTCTTCAGGCAAACCATTGCCTGGTGGAATCGACAACCAACAAGATGTATCCCCGAACTTTACAATCTTAATCTATTCATGGATAGGGTTAACCGTTTACTCCTTCGCCTATACACACAAATTGCCTCCTACCTCTAACTCTACTTCGAAAAAAAAAACGGAGGCCTGTGTCAGTTTTGCTATCAAATTAATTAAAGATAAACTAATGAATGTCTCTTCACAGTAACCAAAAATTGTATTAAATCTGACAAGAAGATAAATGCGGAATCGACAAAGCCGCTAAGCTGGAAGGGTATGAGAGAGAGAGAGAGAGAGAGAGAGAGAGAGAGTATTAAAAGACCGGGATTCGAGGAGATGGACAATAACAATTCTCATTCCATTTAAATTTTTGAAGATCAAAGTTGACTGGAAAGCAAGAAGCCGGAAGAGAGTTCCACAAGCGAGAATTACGAGCGACGGAACTGTTAGCACAGAACTTATTCCTACATCAATTGTGAAATGATGAGACCTATCTACCAATCTAGCACTACGCTTAAATACATGAAATCGAAGTGCCAAAAATGAAAACGCATCACAAGCATTACGATGAAAAGGCAAAGGGAAGCTATGTTATGGCGGTGGGAAAATGACTGAAGCCGAGATGCCAGGCCAGAATCAATAACCTTGCAGATTCCTCTTTTTCTATTTTGTAAATAATCTGTAAATACTTAGAAGGACCAGATCAGATGTGGTATCAATATTCACTGCATAAACTTATAATTTTACAAGATGCCGTATATACAAATGTATAAGCCGACTTCAAATACTGGGTTTAACAGCCAAATTGTCCAATTGTTAGATTAATCTTTGAAACATTGTATCTTAGAAATGATCGAACATATCTTAATGGAATTCGACGAGGTTTTTATAACACTATTGGATTCTACTTTGAGCAATAAGAATATATAATTACTCTCCAAGAGTAACAGAAGAATCGTGATGGAATTGATCATAAACGAAAATGGCATGTTCATCATTAATTAATCGTAGCTAAGGATTGGAAGCTCAAAAAGTATTGAAATTAATTCAACTATATATGTATATTATTGCAGGATCATTTTAAAGCTTATTTAAGATGATCTTCGCCCTCTCTAAGCTTCTAACTTTCTGTCCTGGAGTAACTAGTTGCCTAACAGGTTTCATGTACGGCTTCATTTCAAGTTCTTTTTTCTTTTTTTTTTTTACTGCTCTTTAGACTGTCATAGCTGAAACTCCTCTCTCTCTTATGGATTGAGTTGGATCTTTTCTAATTGATCTCTTTAACTCTAAGTTGAAATGATGATCCCTCTTCCTATTGTGACCTTCTGATCCAGTCTTCCTCTCTACTGTTTTTAAAGTTATTGTTGTAACCTAGAAAATGTTCCTAAATGACGAATAACAAAACAGAGGTTGGAAATGAAAATGTTAATCTTTATAACATTAACAAAATACAATACTCGCCAGCAGCGTGAAGTAGGTAAACCACTGCTAGTGGTGAACTACTTAGACATCATATTACCTCCACTTACAATAGTGTCTAGCGTATAAGGATTGGGACATACACATTAGTGTTCATAGGTACGCTATATAACAATTATTCCCCGTTCTCTTGATGGTTCTTGAATGGACTTTAAAGATGGATGCCAGAGTATGAATTTTGTTACAGTTACTGAAGGCATGAATGGTCTTTTTCCTCTCAACATTGCTCACTTGGGAAGACAGTGGGTTCTGGGACAAAACGATTTTAACCTACTCTCTT